CACTATAAGTAGTGCATATGTAATTTTAGATATAGCTAGATAGATAGAAGTTATAGAATGATATAGACGATGAATGAATGATATATAGATATATAGATATTCGAATTTTATTTATAATGGATAATTCATTTAAGTTTCTTAAATACTGACTTAAAAACTGCTTTATTACTTTGCTATTTGTTGTCTTTGTCGCAAAGCAATTTCTTTGGGCATTCCCTTCTTAGAAATTCCACAAGTGCATTTTCCTCTGACATCTGCAATTCTTGCATGATTAGTTTCCGCCGAGCTCATTCTTCTTGCTCGTCGCCAATCAACCCCTGGCAATGAGAGCCTGGTAGCTGATTAGCAAGCACAAGTTGTTGCTTAGCTTGGGACCCAGGTTCAGGTCTAGGACCAACCTCAAACTGGAGATGGGACTGGCCCAATGTGCACCAATCGAAGCGTTAGAATTTCACGCTTGATATGCAGACTGGATTTTTGCCCTTCCTCACCGGCCCCCGGCCCGGCGGCTCCTGGCAGGTGAAAGTGGAAGTAGACGTGGATGTGCATGCGGATGTTCATGTGGCCCTCGCTGGCTGTCTGTCTGTTGTGGCCAGTCAAGCGTTGCATAAAGCGCATTAACATTTAATGCCTATGTTATTGCCACTCGTTGGAAGCCCGGCCCGGCTGGATGGGTCTTGATAGCGGCTGCTTAAATCGCTTTGCATGTTCAAGGCTGGGCTGGGAATGGGGTTGCACGGATGGTTCATATATGACTCGCTTGCAAAGACCGCCACGCATGTGAAACTCTCTGCATTTGGCATGATTTTGTGACTAGACATGCCAGAGTCATGGCAACGCACTCGCACTCGAAGTCAGAGCTAGAAATAATACCAGCTTCAATCTGTACACATAAACTATTTATTTCAATATATATCAATATATATGTATGTATGTATATAAGTGTATACATAGGTGTATATTCTTGGTATTGTTGGTGTGGTAAAGTACTCTCTCGCCTGGTTCACCACTTCCTCCTCCTGCTTCTCACACTCCTCCTTCTGATGTCCTTCTCGATCCGCTGCCGCGAGATGCCTTCGGCCGTGTGGTGGGGTTACTGGGAGTTATATACCTTCTGCATGCACTATCTACAGAATATACAGAATATGTACATAAAATATTAGTGGTTGATTAGGTTAGCTTCGATTCAAAGATGTTCTTCGTGCCTTTTTTTCTATTGTTCCTTAGCTTGACATCCTTATGTGTCTTCAAATGATTGTTAGTCGTACAGTCGGTTGCATTTTGAAATTTTGATTTTTCCAAAAAAATCGACTACACTCAATCTGGACTCTCGATCTCCTTTGTTATCCTTCAGTCCTCTCCCGCTGCATTCTATGTACAGACGTGTTCCAGGAATTGGGAATTCCTGGGCTCTCCTCCGGTATTTACACAAGATATATTCATATCTCTCGATATATATATATATATAAGTATGTCTATATATGTATATGCTTAGTACATGCATTCCTATCCATCTCCTGTCCTGCATATAATCACTAGATTATGCGTGCCCACTTTTATCCCTAGACGACAAGCCAAAATAAAATTTAGTTGAGTCAAACATCCTGCTACCTTACTCGACGCATAGAATTGTATCTTAGTATCTCATATAACTAATAATGCTCTTACGACAAACCATACAATCTTGCCTCTGACTCAACCGCACACGAAGTTTGTGTGGAAATATTTAGGTATCTTTGGAATTTTCCTTTTCGTTTCGATTTTGTGTGGAGTTCTGTGGACTCCAAATAACACTACTAAAGTACTTTAGTCGGTGGTAACCGCTCTCTTGGGTGTAGTCTTGGGCTTCACACACAAACGTACTGTGGATAAACATTATTAACAATTGAACAACGGTAATTACAATTGCACGACATCAACAACAGCAACAGATCACCAGCAACAATATCACCGAACACCGGAGGTGGAGAAGTGGAAACAGGGACGAGGGAGTAATAAAATTGCATAGCTGACTCCACCACGGCCCTGTTCCACTTCAATGCGTTTTCTAGCTATGTCAGTCCGTTCCATTCTATGCCAGTCCATGCCAGGGCATGCCAGTACGTTCCGTTGCATTCAATTGGATTTAGTTCCACTTCAACCCGTTCCCGTTTCAGTTCCTTTCCGTTCCGTTCCTGTGGTATTACTGCTGATTTTGATGAACTTGGACTTAATGTATATTGTATAATGCATTATTATCTTGATACGATTACGAGTATTGTAGATAAACATATACTGGTTTTCATATATATATCTATGCACATTCAATGCTAAATCAATCGAAAAAAAATTGCACCCATATGGTACTAGCGAACATAGAGTATATGGTATATATAGTATACATATATACAACTATCAAAAATAGGACAAATAGAACTGGAGATTTGCTTTGGCTTGACATTCAATTCTTTGGTTTTGTTTTAGTTGTTATTTTTTAATTAGCTCTGCACATCTGCAGAGTTAGTTTTAGTTTTCCCGAAGACAACTTCAGCCATCCTCCTATTTGTTTTTTTTTTTATTTATTGTTTATTATTTTTGGTATTGTTTTTGTTTTATTTTTTTTTAATTTGGTTGTTTCTACGAGTATACACATTTATTGTAACACAAGTTTAATGCGGATTAGATAGAGCAACGCGAACAACAGTTAGGAAGATGAGCAAAAAACATGGACTGCGACCAAGAAGAATCGCGCTGACTTGTAAATAGTTTGAGATACTTCCATATGTCCGTGTATAATATATAAATATATGCATGTATATATACATATCTATGTATGTACATATATGTATAGATATCTGTATATTCATGCTTTGTATAGATATAGATCGGTAAATATATCTGTATATGTATATATATTCTGTTACTGTTCTCTCAACACACATTGAAAGTGAAAGTTAACTTTGGGTTACCGCATTGAGACACACACATGGAATTTGAAGTCTAAATTACATTCTGGGCACATCGAGATACATTTTGTTCAATATATTTTTTGTATATGCATATCTTTAAACATGTATGTATATGTATATATTGGTATGTGTATATTCATATGTACGTAGTTGCAACCCGATTCGAGCGCTTGCAATGTGGAAGATAATCTCTATATAACATTCATCTCTACCATTTCTTTATCATCCTGTGGGATGCCATTGACCAAATTGACAGGGCCAAATGCCATATATAGAAACACACTTGATTGATTGCAATATTGACTGATTGTTTGTTTGTTCATTCGTCTGTCCGCCCTTACCATTCCCTCCCCAAACTCTGTTTGGTAATGGGTACAATTGCAAATTTTCAATTTGAGTTTCTTCGTTAATTCATATTTCAAACTTCTTCTGGTGAAGATGTTTTGCCTCTCGTACTTCCTCTTATTCTGCATATTTTTTAGCTGCTGCTTCCGATTTGGTGTTAGCTTTAACTTTGTTTTGATATAGTAAATTTGTATAATTTTACATTAAATATTCAACCCGAACATTAACATTTAACTTCGATTTTCGTTTTGATTCGATTGGATTTAGTTGGGTATTTGTTGTTATTTACCTTTGTGTAAGCTCAGATTGTACATACAAATTACATTTATTGTGTGGTTTACATTGATTAAAACTTTTGAGTCTGTAGACACTTATTCCTTATTCGCTGCGGATATATGTACATATAATATGCTTGAGTATATTCGGAATATGTGTGGGCATGTGTAGATATTTATGTTATTGAGGGTACTGTTGGATTGCCTGCCAATCAGATGAGTTTTTATAGTTTTGTCTCTGGTTCCCTTGATTGTGTGTGATGCTTGTCTCGATTACAGCCGATTACAACCCACAAATGTGTGGCACAATAAATTTATCGGTTGCAACCTGGACCCCAAATGGGGCTACTACAAAGAAAAGGGCATAATTCCCGAATACCAATGCATCGGTACAAAAAAAGACGACTCCTCATGCATATAAGAATATATGTACATATGGGTGTCTGTTTCGTCTCAACGACTGCCGCTTCTGTCCTCCTTTGGATCAGTGGATCCCGCTTAAATTCCCTTCTCGTAAAAAAATATTTTGACATTCTCTGTTACTCTGTCACCTCCTCTTCATCTCTACCTTCCTCTAGCTCTGGACCTGGGCCCATGACAAAATTTTCCTGCCGATTCTAGTTTCTCAAACTTAAATTTCGATTCGATTTCGTTTACAAATTGTATGCAAATATGTGAGAATAAATATATATAATATCTGTTTTTTTTTTGTCTTTATCTTTATGAGGGTTGTACTACAGTTATGCTTGTCTTGTCGGTTGTCCGATGAGGTCTGTCGTGGGTCGCACTCGATTACGCTCTTTCCCTGTTCCTATCGCCATCCCTATTTCCTTATTTTCGTACTACTTTTCGTAGTGCTTATGAGTCCTTCATCCTGCTCCCTGATTTATTGTGGTACTCACAAAACTCCCCTGCAGCGTTGCTTATTAGCTGCTTGTGACCGATTTCCTAACTGTCTATCGATCACTAATTGCCGGCTATCGCTATACTCTCGCTTCTCGTAAATCCTACCAATACCGATATCGTTAAAGTTACTTGTACCGTTAAAGTTACTTGTACTCTTATTGTTCACCATTATACTCTGTTACCGCTAGGACTAATGTTAATGGGTTTGAGTAGAAGTGTTACTGGATTGATGTGTGGGTGGGTACTGTACTGTACTGTGCTGCATGCAGTTACTGTTGCTTTAAGTGTTTGTTTAAGTGTCATTGCCGTTAATATCCCTGCTTATATTACAATGAATCGCTTCTCTTACTCGTTACTCTTTACTCATTAGTGTGACTGTAAGTAATTCAGTTGCAACCAGTGCGAGTGCTATTCTAAGTGGGCACTGCTTGTGTTACTGTTATTGTTAGTTTTAGTGTTAGTGTTACTATTGCTTCATTTACTATTACTTGTACTATGCTTTTCAGTTAGTTATACTTTTACCGTTTTTGCATTATTTGCTACTTTGCTTAGTGTTAGTGTCAATGTTCGTGTGACTGAGTTTGTATCAGTTGTAATTAGTGTTAGAGGCACGGTTATTGTTCTAATACTCATTATTCCTGTTCCACTTGCTGCACTTACTGTTAGGCATTCGTTTGTCTCACATATCTACATAGGTTCTCGTTCAGTTACTGTAAGTGATCTGTAAATATGTTTGACTGTCAGCTTATACAACTATGCTATTGTGACTGTTTGTCTATTACGATGAATGATTGGGTCGGGTCGTCACTGTCTCAATGGCTCGTGTTGGTATGTGAGTGATATGCCTATGCACTTCTACTAGTAACTAGTATGAACATGTATATTTTTCTGAAGAGATCTATTACTATAACTCTGCAGTGCCAATATGGCTGCTTCAGCTTCCGTAAATCGTAATCTTGATTATAAACTGTTCCAACTAGTATTGCATCTAATAAACTGTTCAATATAGTGTTTCAAGTGCCTAACTGGTGTCTTGTGTTGAAGTTCGCTTTACCTGTCGGCTTCTTCCAATGGTTAACAAATGATACGAATATTTCCGGATCTCAGAGATACAAGTAGCTCGCTTCAAGAGAAAAATAGAGCAGAAGGAAAGACGAAAACACGGAAAGAGGGAAAGACAGAGAGAGGTGAGTGCCATGCCCCACCAAATGGCTCCACACTCACCCTTTGCTGAACGGCCTGGATCTGTTGGTGGGTCAGTCCCAGAGCTTTACTTGCCTCTGCGTCCCCCGACCTATTTCACGAATAGGTCCTTGAGTGTCGAACACAGCGACGCATCGCACGTGTCCTTCGAGTCATCCTCCTCGCCCTTGCTGAACCAGTTGAAAGTGGAGCGCATTGCCCGCCCGGCCTGAGACTGGGCGCCACTGCCCGCGGACGCCCGGCTGCGACGGGCTCCGGCCGGACTGCCGGTAGCACTGTTTGACTCCTTGGGAACAGCCCCGCGGACCGCCGCCGATGTGGATGGTCCGCTAGAACCTCCGGCTCCGGCCATCCCGGCATTGGAGCTCTTGCGAAGGAAACCCTCGATCGCCGTGCCCAGCATGGTCGCATCCACGATGTTCGCCTTGGTGGTGTCGGCCCAGCTCTTCTGCTTGCTGCGCGGCTTGAGCTTCGGTTTTCCGGAGTCTCCGCCGAGCGGGTCCTTCTTCTGCAGTCGCTCCAACATGTCCTTTGAGAGGGCCATGGCCGTGCTCTTGCTGCGCACACTTTTCTTGCGGGCCATCGGCTGGGGGCGACTTGCCGGCTTGCCGAACCACCCGGATATGGCGGCAGAGCTGTTGTCCTGCGCCTCGCTCACCAACTGCTTGGCGTTGTTCAGGATCGAGACGTCGAAGCTGTTGGATCGTGTGGAGCGGCCTGCATTTGGGTCTAGCAGTGAGCTGCTGCTTGCTGCGGCCGCCTGCCCCCCAGTGTGGGCCGTGGGCGTAGGCGTGGCACTAGTAGCGCGGCCCCGGGCGGCGTTTTGGAACGTCTGGCTGAGAAACGGGCTGCTTCCAGCGGTGGCCGCTGAAGAGCTGGCACTGGCACTGGAGCTCCCCTCCGGCTCTGAGCGGTGCATGTCCATGGCAGAGCTGGTCAAAGAGCTGAAGATCCCAGCGATGTCTGTGCGGCTTCCAAGCAGGCCTACGCCACTGCCCGACTTCTTGCGGCGTGTCGAGGCCCTGGCCGACAACGGCGGCTGGGGCGAGATGCTCTTCTGCGATGAAGGCGCGTGCCCATGTCCGTGTGTTTGTGCATGCGGAAGCGGCTGCGGCGGTGGATGCGGATATTCAGAGGCCCGGCGAAAGCTGCTGGCTGGTTGCGGCTGGGGGCACTCCGAAAAGCGGCGGTTGGTGTAGCGCCTACCCGGGGCCGCGGTCCCGGCCTCATCAACGGTCTGTACCTCACAGACCTTCTCATTGCTGGAGGTCCATAGCTTTAAACGGGCCTTTCGTGACTGCAAATATATGTCGTCCATAATGTCCAGTTGCAAGTTATGGATGCTGCCGATGGGGTCTGTAGAGGGAGGACCCGTGTTGCTCTCCCGCCGTGAGTTGAGCACACGGCTGCTGCTGCAAAGAAACGAAACGAAATGTTGCAGAGTTAAAACTCAAAAGATTGGGAAGCCTAACACGAAAATCGTGGAAACCCTCATTCATTCATAGTCGGAATCGGAATCGAAATCCCCGCAACACTAGATTACTGGAAGCACGTGTTGTAGTTGAGAGACTTACCCATTGCTGCTCGGATAGGCGGCCACCGATTCGCGGCGCGAACGTCCAAAGAGGGTGGTGGGCACCTTGGAGATGGTGACCACAGAGTGGCGACGTCCAGATGGGGCCGGCGCTTGTGAGAGGGTGGCGAGGAAGGCGGCCTCCTTGGGCGATGGACCGGATCCCTCGCCGCCGCGCTCGGACAGACGCCTCACCTGACTGGCGGTGATTCCATCGGTCACCTGCTGTGAGGGCAGCGAGTGCTTACGGGCCTCGCGCGGGTCCCGCCAAGGGGAGAGCAAATAGGGGTTCACGGGCGAGTCAATGTCCAGACTGGCGCGATTCGAAAAGGTTGTCTCTGAGCTGTCCTCCAGTTCCTCCGGTAAGTTGGACTCCTCCACTACAATCAAAGGCTCCGGCTTGCTGTGCACCTGCGGTGGCGGAGGCTGGTTCGGGTTGTTGCCGCCTGACCCTGAGCTGCCTCCATAACGATTGAATTGCGAACCACGTAAGCGCAGCGCATCTAAGGATAGCCGGTAGCAGATCGTAGAGCGTATTTTGTTGATTAAAGGATCACTTACCCATTTTATACAATTTCTAAATTGACAGCCAGTGGAAAAACGTCTTCTGATGTCCTACCTGCTATTGAGAAAAAATGGTCATAGGATTAAGCAAAGGATGATTGGATTGGATTGGATTGGATTCGAATTCTCGTCGAAGACCACAAATTTGACTAACATTTTCGTCTGCGTAGACCAGATATCCAGCTTTAGACAAAGTTGAGCTTTCGATTTCGATGCTCCGACGCACCGTCCGCGCTATGGAGCGTTAACCACGCAGTGAGAAATAAGAAGAGGTCTCACGCGTGTGTGGGTGTGTGTGCGTGCGTTTGTGTGTGTGGGAGATACATAGGTGGAACACCGCTGGCTCCTCTCCTCCTTCTGCTCATTGTTTTGGCCTACGAAATGGAAATGGCAGCAAAACCATGCATCAAAGTAATTAAAGTCACTGTCCAGGGACTTTTTGCTTCGTTAAGGATGACTTCCCCCATCGTCTGTCTGCCTGCCAGCTGCTGGGGACAGCACAACCATAATGAGCATACAATTATGCAAAAGTTGAAATGAAATTTCACCATAACTCAGCTGCCACAAGAGGTTGTACTTAGCTGCTGGGTGGTTTGTTGTGGAGAGGAGGGGCGACCAGATGAAACCACAACGGCGGTGTGCAGCGTCAACCACCACCAGTACAGCCGCGGAATTTTTCCTTTCAATGGAATCCTGCGGCATATCAGAGGTCTACTAACGATGATGGTGGCTACCTACAAGTAGTTTGAGTCTTGTCTACGATGTCTTGTCTTCGGATCACTGTGGCATCACTGGCCGGCTTAAGCTAGATCAAGAGAACCACTGAACTAGATCAAGATGCGGGTCTGAAATTTCATGCCGCCTATTTTATTGCCTAGAATCGAACGTTAAGGGTTAAGGGCGGAGTCCCACCGTTCCGTCGCGAAGTGGCAATGTTATGACATTTAACAAGTGCTTATTGCATAAGCAGCGAAGAAAGCAGAAGTTTCGGAGTCTGAACGGAAGCCCCATTTGATCTGATTAGGCAGCCTGTGACAGCAACAGGACTTGCATCGCTCCGTCCCCCGGCAATCGCCACTCGGCTGCATCTGAGGCCGGTCCGTGTCCGTTGACGGGGCAAGTTGTTGTCCAAAGTCCCGAGCCGCAAGTCGCAAGTTCATTAAGCTTGTAAATTGGCAATCAACACCAAAGTTGTGGCTTTGTGTTGGAGTTAATTAGCCTTTCTATGCCACTGACAGGACAGCCACGGCGGATGGTTGGATGCGGTCTATGCCCTCGCATCGTTATCTTCTGGTCTCTGATCTGTGGTCGCACCGGCCGCTGTTTCCTGTGCCCAAGAAAAATTATAAGACTCAAGCTATTCAATTTGAAAGCCACATAAATTTTTTAGCAATACGCGACTGCATAAGTATTGTAACTGTTATAACTATTTTAACAGTTTGTGGTTTTGAATGGCAGTCGAAGAGGGCTTTAAAGTCTTTTGTTCAGTTAATTGCTGCATTTAGTCCACTACAATCACTGCTGTTCACCTTTAAGAGGACTTGTCGTGCCCTGTCCTGGACCTGTCGCGTCCTGTCGCGTCCTATCGCGTCCTGCTCTGCACACGGAGCCGCCTTACTTGGATCTCTCGACGCTGCTTTATTAAAAATGTAGGCTCCTTTTCTGAGGAAACCCCAAACGAGTGGGTGGCCTGCTTTCCTTGCTCTTTTCAGAACTCTTTTCCTAGAAAAATTGAAAGAGCTGCCGTTGTCTGACAGACGGCAAACGAGCCTGATATGGGGATAGGGGGGGACCGATAGTCCCGTTACCCAGAAACGTTTGCCAAAAATGTCAGTTGCAGTTGCCATTTCTGTCTCAATGCTGTCTCTGTCCGACTCTACGTGAGAGCAATTAAAGCCGAAACGAATCGGAACCAATCGAATCCCCTACTTTTGACCAATCAAATCGAGTTTCGAACTTTGACGAAATTATGGCAGCAAACGTGTGCCGCTCTAATGGAGAGATATTGAAAAATAGTAAAACGAGATGTACCCTTTCCTTTCTCATCAGCTCTCTCTTGCTTGATTAGGGCAAGCTTTTTCCCCGACCACCCAAACCATATTGTGGCACTGCAAATATAGCCAGATATATGGAAAATGTCAAAGAAATGTACATTGAAAAGTACACTTTTCCTCACATGGATGTTGATCGAAAATCGTATTGGATTAGGACATGCTTGAAGCACGGTGGACATCACCAAACCAACATGTGGTTGAACTGAACAACATGAACAGCATGCAACATTTCTCTCTTGAACATATTTAGGAAAAATCAAATGACTTTTCAATTGGTGCCAAAACCGCTCGAAAACCCTTCCTCTCCCTCTCTTTTTGCGATGTGTGTATTTGGTTTGATGATTTCAGTATGTTCTTTTTCCAGCCCACCCCTCCTGTCCACCTCCCCCAATTTTGTGTTTGATTGATTGACTGAGTCTGGCCGTACAGACAGACGTGCATCCGCATCCGCATACGCATCCTTAAATACGAGTGGGAATGAAGTGGAGACAGTCGATTGACAGATTGACTCTGTGTCTCACTGTGCATTCCCTGTCCCTGTCTCTGTTCATATCGTTTCATCAAGGACTAGCTCGATTTCAGTTAAGCTTTGTTTAATGGACTTGCACAAAAATTTTACAAAGCACTTTGGCCAGAGAGCGAAATGGATGAACAAGAACAGGAACAGAACAGGACCTCAAATCGGGAATTGGATGGAAGGTGCGCCTCTTTCACAAGGGGCAACATCAACATCAGAATGTCGGGCCTGATCCAAAAAATCGAAAAAATCGAGAATCGGATGTGTAATTTTCACCGAACAACAAATAAGGCGCAAAGCAGCTTTGCCTTTGCCCCCGGTGCCATTTCCGCGCTGAACAAACCCATTTCGGCTCCATTAAATCGGTTTCCCACCAAAAGATTAAGCTTTCCTTTAGCTGCCAACCACAGATTTGGCTTCCGCTTCTTGGTACGAATGCAAAAAGCAAAGCTAATTGAAGCAGTTTTTTGATAAAGAAAAGGTCAAGGGCTAACCGCACATTCAGCATTCAGTATTCGGCATTCATCCATCCACCATCAATGTCCAGATTCATACTTCGATTTGAATATGCTCCATATTTAAAAGTTGCTCGTTCAGACAAACTTTTTCGCTTTTTCTCGTGCGACATCCTGACTAGATACATAACAGCTTTTGCTAATGATTGCCATTGACAGCACTTACTTCGATATTTCGAGAACTCTCTCTCGCTTTCCCATCCTAACTATTCACTACTTTTCATCACAGAGCTCTTTGCGAGGGGGTTGACATTGAGATTGTTGCTGTTTTTATACCCGATACTCAAAATGAGTCAAAATGAGCTATATTAAATTTGTGGTGAAAATGAAGGTGTGTAACGTCCAGAAGGAATCGTTTCCGACCCGATAAAGTATATATATTCTTGATCAGCATCAATATACGAGTCGATTGAGCTATGTCTGTCAGTCCGTCTGTCTATAAAAACTAGCGCGAGCAACGAGATTTTGTATCCAGACTTCTGTGATATGTCAAATGCGATATGCGAAAATTTGTGGCATCCACAATTTCAAAGATACGAGAAACGCAGAAAACGCAGAATCGTGGCGAATGACTCTATCTTCTAGACTGCGGAATTTGAACAAGATCGTATAATTATCATAGCCAGAATGATGAAAACAATTTCGTTCTCTCTCGCTCTGTCTCTCTCTAACACACACTGTGTTATCGGCTGTGCCTATTGCAAAAAGTGAGCGCCTAGATCTCAGAGACTATAAGAGCTAGAGCAGTGGTAGAGCAGTAGAGAAGTGGTATCCACACTTCTGTAATATCGAACCTCCACAAGTGTATTTGAAAATTTAGCCCCACCCTTTTGTCGAATTTGGATCAGATCGCATCATTATTATAGCCGAAAGTAACAAATCAATTTTCAGTGGCTACGCAGTGCCCGACAATATGTTCAGACTCGTTTTCTGTCTTTCCCGCACGCACTCTTTGTCGCTCAATGCAGACATACTGACTATGTATTGTGTATAAATGTAGAGTTGCGGGCGCAGCAGCAACTCACAACGTTCCCCTCGTTGATATCTAGAAGCAGTCGAAAGCGCATGTAAGCCCGACAGATGTGCACGTACAGACAGGCACAAAGAGAAATGGCGCCATGATTGTTGCTTTCATAGCTGACTTTGGCATTCAGTATTAGAGTAAGCAGCAGCTGCATCTTGGCAACACAAGTGCCTGCAACACAGGCCGATGCCAGGAGATCAAAGCGCTCCAGGTGGAATTATTCAGAAAAATGAAACAAAAGCAGCGGGAGAACCCGTTGATCAGACCACAAGAGCAGGAGCAGCAACAGGACCAGGCAAAGGCAAGGTCAAAGTCACGGGCAAAAGATGACATGGACAGAAACTTGGAGGAGTTCCGGCTAGAGAAGCAGCAGCAGACTCATACGAATACGTTTTATATATTTAATTCGCTTGGTGGATAAGAGAAGGTCATGCCGATTGGCAGAGGATGGAAAAAAGGTTACGTAAAGTATAGTTTACCTTGAATAAAGTTAAATATTCTAAAGGCGGTGGGCCCCTGACCGGAGTAAGACATGATCCTGTGAGGGTATGTACATATATCAAGTGTACATACATATATCTCCAAGCTACATTCAGTGCAAATTCAAACGTCTTTTCCTCCGCCACTTCCTTTGTGTGTGCGGAAAAGTTATGAATTTCTAAAATATCCTCGAAACTTGTTGCACACGGTGCGCCTCCCACGACCGCCCGTTTGTTCGCAGCCCTCATCGTTCGTCCGGATGGAGACCTGCGATGGAAACCAGCTTGTTTATGACGTGCATTTGAAATGCGGCCATAACATGCACTTGGACTTTGGCCATGGTCATGGTTACGGCTGTGGCATTTAATAGTCCATGAGCGGCCTGTACACTGCCTCCCCCCTCCCGCAGCCGACTATCCCCGGGGGGAAGCGAGCTGAACTCCTTCAAGGGCGGGACCCCCGACTACG